ATTGGAATGTTTTTATTTTATTTTTTTAAAGATTTTATTTGTTTATTTGAGAGAGAGAGAAAACGTGCGTGAGTGGAGGGGGCACAGGGAGAGGGAGAGAGAGGATCTCAAGCAGACTCTGAGCTGAGCGTGGAGCCCAACACAGGGCTCAATCTCATACCCCTGAGATCATGACCTGAGCCGAAACCAACAGTTGGACACTTAACTGACTGAGCCACCCAGGTACCCCAGAAATTGGAATGTTTTTAAAGAAAGCATAAACTGCCCAGTTTGTCCATAGGCCTTACCATTCCCTAGTGTCTTCCATAGACTCCATCACAGATTTTGTCACCTGCTTGGGTCCTAAAGGCAGTAATTCTGTCACCTCCTCCAAACTTTTCCTTTTACAGACAAGGGAACAAGAATCTAAGAACAGTTTACTGACTTGCCTAAGGTGACATGGATGGTTATCATTAAAGCTACAGTCAAATTTTAGTGGCCTGGCTCCTAGTTCCACATTCTCCGCTCTGACTCCACCATACTCTTACGCAAATTCGATCTAGAGCCCAGAATACCAAAATGTTGAAAGAAAAAGAGGAACTACATACAAAATGCATATGGAAAATAATGATGTATTCTTGTCACAGTCTATGTTTGTTCCATATTTCTTTATGCCCCCCCTCCAAAGGTGGTTAGGACCTAGGTGAATAGACGAGTCACATACACAGTGTTGTTGATACAACTGAACCTATAGCTAACACCTGCAGCAATAAACTAGACATGATTCTGTTAAGAATGGGACACTACTTTTCCAACAAGTTCTCTCCTTTATATTATCATATTCCTACATTCAGGGCACAGAACTTAAAACAGCCTGGATTCCCTGTTACATTGGTTTTTCTGACCCTTTCTTGGCTGCATACTAGTTCATTTTATACCTCGTGGCCTTTGTACAATGATGTGTTGGATTTAAATGAGAGGAGGGGTATGTGCTACTCTCCCCAGTTCCCAATAGAGTTCTCAACCATTCTGTGGGTCTTGAATGCTAGCTGCCTACATTCACTATAAAGACAATGAACACCTAGCCATCCTGCCAGGAGACCTCCCAAGTCACTTCCACTTCTAGATTCAACTCTGTGATTCCCAGGGTACCTGTTTTCCCCACACTGGAATCTTTCAGATCATCTACTGTGAAGCAATAATATTATAGATCTGTGGGGCAATGAAGCCTTCTCATTTTTCTGTCAGACTGCTTACTCTGAAGGAGAGTCACGAAATCTCTCTAATTCCTTACAATGAGGGCACAAACAATTCAAAACAAGAGATACCCTTAGAGGGGATAAAGAGTGAATACATCTGGAAAGTGTAAGGAAGGAAAGGATAAGAGGGGAGTGCGAAGTATGCCAATGAGCTCCCTCTTTCCATGGCTGCTCTAGGATCACGAGTCAAGGAGAGACAAGAATTCCACTCAGGTTTTAAAAGAAAGAAAGCACGGGCGCCTGGGTGGTGCAGTTGGTTAAGCCTCCACCTCTTGGTTTCAGCTCAGGTCATGATCTCAGGGTAGTGAGATCGAGCCCCTTGTTGGGCTCTGCACTCAGCACAGAGTATGCTTGAGATTCTCTCTGCCCCTCTCCCTCTGCCCCTCCTCAACCTCTCAAATAAATAAATCTTTAAAAAATAAAAATAAAAGAAAGCAGCTTTGACTCTGCCTTTCAAATCAGAACTTCAAATTCTTGGGACACCTGGATGGCTCTGTTGGTTAAGTGTCTGCCTTCAGCTCAGGCCCTGATCCCGGTATCCTGGGATTAAGTCCCACATCAGGATCCTTGCTCCCTGGCACTCCCCCTGCTTGTGCACTCACTCTCTCTCTCTCTCCCAAATAAATAAATAAAATCTAAGAAAAAAAACCCTTGAAATTCTTAATATACTATAACAGTACTTAAAATTACATTTAAAGTAATGAGGAAAAGCTATAAAAATGAGGAATTAGCATAGAAAACTGTGAAAGCATTTTGCATTTTTTTTTTAAAGATTTTATTTATTTATTTGAGAGAGAGAGAATGAGAGAGAACACATGAGAGGGGGGAGGGTCAGAGGGAAAGCAGACTCCCTGCCGAGCAGGGAGCCCGATGTGGTGTGGGACTCGATCCAGGGACTCCAGGATCATGACCTGAGCCGAAGGCAGTCGCTTAACCAACTGAGCCACCCAGGCGCCCGAAAGCATTTTGCATTTTTATGTGGCTACTTCTTGGCTGAATATAAATGAAGGGATATTAATAATAATAGGAACCAGAGGAATAATATGTGAGGAAAGACCAAGAATACTTATTAGCCTTTGTTGAAACATGAACTAGGCAAAATATTTTGGGGAAGTAATGGCAGATAGACAAAACCAAACAAAGCAACAAAACCAAAACAAGATAAAACAAAAGAATTTCAAATTACATTTTATCTGATTGTACAGTAACACAATTCTCAAGACATTAGGCACAAACACTTAAAATAATGAAGTTCCACATGTAAAATAATGCCACCATACTTTGTTTATTCAGAAACACAAATTTTGACTTCAAAGGGAATTACCCTATTCAAAAGGGCTAATGTATATGTGTGAAGCAAAGAACTTCTGATTGTGCTTTAACTCAGGATTAGCTGTTTCCTTCCATAAGCTGTTATATAAACTAAGTAAACATAAAAGTTAAGATGCTACTAAATAAATAATAAAATAGGTCCTGAAAACCCACAAAATGACAGGTTCCATTTCCTGATTCATTTTTAAAGCCATCACTTAAAAAAAAAAAAAAAGTTAACTTTTTTCTCTGCTTCATGTTTGCTTTTGATTATGTTTTTACTATCTTATATTGTTGTCACACTAAACTTAAAATTTATTTTAAAATATATCTGTGAATAAAAACTCTCTACTCTATATATAAATTACTGAAAAGCAGCACTTGTTTGAAATTAACTACTTTATTGCATTAAAAAGCCCAATATTAAGCTCCCACTGCTTACATAAGGTTCAAAATAAGGTAAAAGGAGGCGAAGTATTTGCAGAAACTTGTAACGGAAAACAAATTTTTACCAGCCTCCAAAAATCACTCATTATCATTGTGCACAGCGCACGTCTTGCTTTCAAATGAAAAGTCAGAAGTGGTTATTTCTGTATCTAACAGCTCTTGAAACATCAGTAGGCTGATGAAAATATTCATCAAGACCAATTATTTTACTCTTGCAGTTTGAGTACTGAGAATGTTGACAGTTTATAACACTGTTGACAGATGGAAACAATACATAATAACGCTTTCAAAATCTAGAGTCACTAGAAGATAAACTTTCTAATCTCCTCGAAAAATCTTCACTTTGCTGCAAGTACCAATTATAAATAACAGCTAACATTTACGGAGTGCTTATGTGCCAAGCACTGATCTTTACCCTTATTCTCTATCATAGTAATCTGTAATTATTTTATTTTCTTTCTCCCCCACTAATCCAGAGGCTCCATGGTCACAGGGACTCTGTCTACTTCTTTATTGTATCCCCAGCACCTAGCACGCCTTACACATAGTAGGCGACATTTTTAAATGACTCATTGTTCTAAACATTTATTTTTTAAAAAGATTTTATTTATTTATTAGAGAGAGAGAAAGCACAAGCAGGGGGAGTGGCAGGCAGAGGGAGAGAAAGAAGCAGGCTCCCCACTGAGCAGAGAGCCCCATGTGGGGCTCGATCCCAGGACCCCAGGATCATGACCTGAGCCGAAGACAGATGCTTAACTGACTGAGCCACCCAGGCGCCCCTGTTCTAAACACTTTAAATAATTTTTTAAAACTGTTGGTCATGGGTGCCTGGGTGGCTCAGGTCATGATCCCCGGGTACTGGGATCGAGTTCTGCGTCGGGCTCCTTGCTCAGCGGAGAGTCTGCTTCTCCCTCTCCCTCTGCCCCTACCCCTGCTCATGCTCGCACGCTCTCTCTCTCTCTCTCAAATAAATAAACAAAATCCTTAAAAAAAAATAAAACTGTTGGTTATGATCTAGAGGGTTAAGAAAATGCAAAAGAATAGAGTGTATTATTTAGTAGAATATTCTCCAACGAAACTTTTATATGTCCCATATAAAATGTATTTACCAATGGGTAACAGTAAAAAAAAAAAAAAAAAGGCTGAAAATCACTGCTTTACGTGGATTATTTCATTTGCTCCTCACAATAACCCTGTAGACAATACCACAACTTCCTCTTTAAAATAACAGTACTGAGATTTCCAGATAGTATGTATGATGTCCAAGATGACAGAGCTATCTATAAGTACAAACATCACTTCTATAAAGTCTCACTGATAGGGAACCACACTAAAAAAATCTGAATTAACCAAATGAGGTTTCAGTAATAATAACTGTGACATGATTCGTGAAGAAAAAAATAGGCTTTTAAGGCAGTCAGTCCTAACTAAATTTAATACCTGGTTCTGCCACTAACCAGCTGTGTGGACTCAACCTCTTTGCACCTTGATTTCTCCATGTGTAAAAGAGAGATATTCATAACGTTGCTATAATTTTAAATGATTTGATGTATGTAAATAGCCTAGGCCACTAAATGGAAGCTTTTGTGATTAAATAATTAGTATTTTCTTTTTCCTGGTCCGATAAATCTTCAGCCCATCACACCACTATCTGAATGTGTAAAAAGCGTGAATCAGGAATCTACTGGATTAAAGAGCAAATTATGGGAAGTGGGCAAGAGAGAACTAGAGCCACCCAAGAGTTTCTGCTGGCCGTGGGTCAGAAAGATGCCTAAGTCAAGCTCAGGGAGTTGGTTCAGGTAACCACGGGAATCAAGGGAAACAACTCTGCTTAACCGTAAATACAAACACAAACTATTTCATCTTGCTCAAAGATCACAGCACCATCCATCTTCTTCCTCTGTGTCCTGGCTGGGGCCGAACCAAGGAAACGCCCCTGGTCAGCTCCTGCCCACTAGGCCCTGGTACCCAGGGGCTAGGGCGCAGAGCTTCGGTGCAACTCACCCCGGAGACTCCGTTGATACTGCCCCAGAATCTCCTCCAGGGTAGAGTTCTCCGGGGACTTCGCCATGCACAGAGCCGGGGCCCAGAGATGGGAGTCACGTGGGAAAGTGTCCAGTGTCGCCCTTCGGAGAACAGGAGGCCTTGGCGCCGGAGAAGTACCCGCCTGCTTCCAGCCGCTGCTGTCATTGGGGAGCATGGAACCCCGGACGGAGCTCGCGGGGGGCCCTTCCCACCCAGTGGCCCTCACGCTGGACGTCGGGAGTTGTAGTCCGCAGGCTGCGGGCCTGCAGTCACGAGATTCCTAAAAGGCCCTTCCAACTATACTACAGTTCCCAGAGGACATCGCGCCACAAGCTTTGGCGGTTTGGCGGCCAGATCCGGTTGCCAAGAGAGTGTTTGGAGGCTCCGCCCTTTTTCTGTAGCTCAGGCTGGCTCAGTCCTGCCTTTATCCCATCCTGCTGTTTGGACCGTCCAACCGACAAAAAGAGCTCACTGAAGGCCTTGACTCTCCTAAGTTTGGTAGTTTGCGGTTGGTCCTTGAGTCTTCTCAAGGACACAAATAACAAGTTCTCCGCCCTTCAGCCGCGACATTTGCCAAAATGTCCAAATAAATTCTCAAGAAAAAGAAGCTTTAAATCTCCCAAACAGCCAAGGTTTTGAAGGCATCCGACACTACAAATCCTAGCATGCCCAGCAACCAGACCTCCGCTTGGAGTTGGCGCACTGCCCTCTGGGAACTGTAGTCCTTTTTAGTTGCGGTCCCGGCTAACGCCAGAGTCCTCCTCATTGTTCAAGCTAGTCTTTGGAGCACGCCTGCGCAATAGGCAGCTGGCGAAGCCTTTGGGTGAGACCCTCCGCACAGCCCCTTTTCATTGTCTGCGTTTGGCGCCTGCGCAGTAAGAGATCGTTGGGACTGGGCCGGCGGAGGGGATAGGGCCGGGTTCCTCGCCTTTTCCTCAGGCGCCTGCGCACTGGGCGGCCGCTTTTTGCCGTTACCGCTATGTGCGGGGCGTGTGTGGAATAACGTTATTGCCTAGCGGAGCTCGGGGCCGGGAGCTCGACCGTAGCGGCAGCGACGACGACAGCGCCGACGAGGACGACTGGGTGGGGGTAGGACGGCGTGCGAGAGACTCACGGGACGCGACGCGCCCCGCCTCCCCCGTCCGGTCCCTCTCTCAGCGGTGAGGGGTAAGTGATGCGCTCAGCTGCTCGGGTAGGCGCTGTCCCTGCCGCCGCCGCTACTTCCCCACATCCTCCTGGGTTTGCAGCGGGGGCTCGGGGCGCGGCCGGGGGCGGCCGGGGTGCTGGGCCGGGCGGCGAAGGGAGCGCTTCCCCGCTGCTCCG